TTTCTGAGTGTCGCAAACCTACTGATCATTATTTGAATAATTCTTACGGAATTTCGTAAAATCAACACAATCTAACATAACCAGACTATTGAGTAAGAAATAAATAGATCACAATCCATGAAAATAATAATTGAACATTTTTCACAAGCATTTTTATATTTCTAGACGCATTTCGATAACACTGTAGCTTCCTCGGTAGATATAAATGAATATTACAACCGGTGCTACAATTCTTCTATATAACAGTAGTAGACGCCAAACCGAATATGATGATAACAGGTAGAATTTGTAAATCTATTACAATCTCAGTTCTTGCACAACAGGTAAATTTCAATATGTTTTATATACAGCTATAACAGTTAAACATATATTGTAAAATAATAGATAAGGCAGAATTGTAAAATTAATTTAGGTTGAAATACCTATATGGGTGGTACACCTGGATGGTTTACCTGTATGGGATATCTATATAGCATAAATAGTGTTAGCTTCGCGTTAGTTACTAGTTTAATCTTCCTCATTGAAGATGATCACTTGGTGATCGAAACACGTGTCGAGGTGTTAAAAATTACGATTTGGTGTTGGGAAATATTCCAGTAATATTTATTACTACACCAAAGGTTCCAAACAGTGCATCATATGAATAAAATTATTGCCATTGTGCAAAAGGTTTAACAATGGTGAGCGGTCAACATCCTGTTGGTCGTTCAATAGGAAATCCGATACTGCCAATAGTTTCGATCATACTCAGGAATTTACAGCAAGCGCCAAATACGGCGGGCCCGCCATCACGTTTGCTCTGTACAGAGGCGTATTATTACTTGTCCTCCATTGCTGTTGGCGTTTGGCATTCTCTGAATAATTTGTGTTGTTTCTGAAAAAATATCATCGCCTAACAAAAAACCAACCAGTCGTCAAGAGTCAGCCACGTTAAATAATTTTTAAAGGGTTCAATTATTTTCAAAGTGTTAAATGTGAGTCCGGTACGTTATCAAATGTGAAAAAAAACGTATCTCGCTACAGGTAACATTAAATAAATTTAAAAAATAGCTGTTCCAACGCAAATCTTCATTTTGTATCAGTTATTTCAATAAGAACCATTGAAGGGAAGCAATCGATTTCTGCAAATAACGAAGAAGTGAAATTTTCCACTCCAAGAAGGAAGCGGCCTAGAAGAGCACCAATAATTGATTATTTACGACTTTCATAGTACGGAAGGGTGTCGTATTACGGCAAAAAAGTTACAACACAAAATTAATGACGTTTTGGGAATTGTGACTTCCGAAACATCTCTTTGTAAAATTTTGAAGAAAATAGGTTTCAAATGGAGAAGGACTGAAAATAATAGAAAAATTTTAATAAAGAAAATGGACATACATTCATAGTGAACATATATCTTCCAAGAACTGGACGGATGAGTTAACCAAAGGGTTATTTAAAAATATTGTGAAGGGAACAAGATACATTATTGTCCATGCAGAAGGTGACATGGGCTTTATACTCAATTGTGAGCTTATATTTGAATTGGGCACCACATCAGGGGATTATCATTCAGAATTGAATTCTGAAAATTATAGTAAATGGTTACAAGAAAAGTTAATCCCAAATTTACCTGTGAATTCGGTAGTCGTGACCGATAGTGCTGTATACTATAATATTCAAATTAATTCAGCCCCAACACAAATTCTAGAAAGGCTGACATGGTGAAGTGGCTGCACCAAAAAAACATTATGTTCACCTCTAACATATTGAAACCCGAATTATACGAGTTAATCAAGGTAGTACATAAAAAAACATTATATCAGATACAAATTTGATGATGTTCTGCTTGAACACCGACATAACGTTTTGCGACTTCCATCCTACCATCCGGATTTGAATCCCAATGAACTCATTTGGGCTTCTATCAAAAACATAGTGTCCCAGAAGAATTTAACTTCCAAGTTGGAAGATGTGAGAAAACTGGCGGAGCACAAGTTTCACCAAATCTCTTCCAAGAAATTAAAATATCCACAGATAAATCCAGTGATTATAAATGCAATGATGATAGCAGCACAAGCAGCAGTGAAGATGAAAAAAAAATGTATTCAGATAGTGACTTATTGAAGTTCATTTTTGGATAAGTGTACCATTACATAACATTTTGATGAACTGTACTTCTACCTATAATACTAAATAAAATATGAAAAGAAATTACGAAGATGTCATGTTCCATTTGCTACCATAATTAAAACTTATTATAAGTACGACACTGGCCGCCAAGGGGCTCATCGCAATCTAATAGTAATTTAGTTAGGAGAGTCTGAACCTGAGCGATCGCTTGCCATCAGCCGTGGCGTGTATTGTACATGCTCTCCAAGAACTGATATTGTAATAATTTTACATGTTTTACCTGATATCTCAAAATTTACCTGTTGTCCGAAAACTGAGATTGTAATCGAAAACATCGTTGGCTAAAGAAGGGCACGTTTCTTCTTTCTTTTTCCTTTCATTTTTGTTTGAGATACAATCATTTTTTTGAAGGGAGCAAGTTTATTAATCCCCTTTTCACCCAAGATGTGTCTTTTATGAGTAGGATTTACGAATAGTGATGCTTGTTGCCTAGTGGTTATGTTTGAATTCTACTATTCACTATTTTGTTTCCATGTAATTTTCATCTGTTCAATGTTTTAGCTTCTGCTTTGAAGCCATTCTCAAGAACCACTTGAAAATGAAGTTACATGACTCGACGACGGGGTCGTAACCTACCTGACCCCCAAGTCTCGTCGCTGGCTTCGTTCAGTTCCAAGTGAACACTGATAACCTTGTTTTTCGGGTCCAGTATTCATGCTGCTGGACAGGTATAGTATACTATAGTATGGATTTCCATCAAGTATTGGTCACATACATTCGATGGGAGTTTGAATAACAGTGGTACTCATATCATATTATATCATATTATATGAAAGAGATGGCATTGGCAGATCAAGATCTTCAGATGATGTGGTGCTTCAGGTTTTTCCAGGTTTTCTTGCAGCTGAAAAAGCACATGAGCCACTGGATTCAATCGAGTCGCTCCGGAGCCCAATTAATTTTTGTTGTTTCATAATTTCATAATTTGTGATAAATTGAGAAATAGAAACAAATAAAATAAAAGAGTGAAACGCTTGAATATAATGATCTAATGATAGCAATAGTCAATGATCGCGTTGAAAAAAAGTAATTGGAGCATTGAAAAACACAGGTGTATCTAAAAGATTGTCCACCACAAAATAGAAATGGAACTTTGAAACAGTGATTTGCCGTTTTCCCTAATTTTTGAAATTATTTGGTACCTAAAATAACGTTCTTGAGGAAGTTGTGATAAAATTATGAGTTATTTATCAATGTTCGAGGGATATTCGGTGAGAAAATTTTTTGCAATTCGAACAAAATTATTTATTGAACACACAGTTATTAAAAGAACAATTCGTATAATGATATTCCGTTGATCTTGCTGTATTTGCCTCGGTTACTGCATAGGTGTTTCCACGCATACTATTGATTATTTGGTTATGATGTTCCTGAGCTTGTTTTGCGTTTAGTGGGATCTGTTTGTAAATTTCTTCGTGCTGCGTCGCGTGCATTCCGCGCTTGTTTGAATGCAACACTTTTAAAGGGGTCTAGCATGATATTATACTCCTTGTAATACTTTTCTTGTAATAATTTGCTTGTTATATTCCATACGGTTTTAACGGTAGCCTCCTTAAACTCTGTGCTATCCTTTTTTCTCATATTAATCGCCCAATCCTTGAGTATTAATGCAAGCTCTTCGAGAGTACGATTTCCATCCAATTCATATTTTCTGGCGTCAAAACTCCATAAATATTTTCCAAGTGTATTTTTTACTATTGACAGTATTTTTTGGTGTATTTTCTTCAATGATTTTGTCAATTGCTGCATCATTTTGAACACCAAAGCGAGGAAGTGACATTTTCGAAATAAATTGAATTACTGAAATGTCAAACAACTTTATTGTGTTGGTTGCTTAGCAATGTCATGACATAAGTGATAACTACCCGTGAAAACTATCCATGGGTAGTTATCAGTGTAATGATGGTTTCATTGGTTATTTCGACACACATGACTAGAAATAGACAAATTTGATAGGATAATTTTTTTGGCAAAAAATTTTCGCTGAAATGATTGGTAAACGAAATGGAAATTTTAAATTCATTTTCAAGCATTCAAGTTCCACCATCAGACAGCTGTTTGAACCCATCATTGTTAGTCTCAACTCTCCTGAATGGTGAACCTGAGTAAGAAAGGTCGATGAAATTCCACTTCACGAAGATGGAATGGGTGGAATCGGCCGAAGACTTATCCATGAATATAGAAGACCAAAGAGGTTCTTCACGGCTGTCAATTGCAGAGCCAAGATTTGATAAGGACCTTCAATGTCTGACTGAAAAATCTAATTTTTTTTCAAATTCTACATCCGATGCTAAATTGTAATCTCGACCATTTCCAGTTTTTTGCAATGATCTGCAAAGTTTGAAACTAACATTTCTTTCCCAAAAATTAATCTCTCCTAAAAATCTACCCTTCCAATTTAACATTTCATCTTCATCACAAAAGATTATTTTTTAATTGGTCATCCTTTAATAATGATACATATAAAATGTACAGGGTGACTAATCGAAAACGAAACATCCTTCTTTTAGATGAACGCAAATCCAACAATTAAAGCCAGTTATCTGGTATTTATGGATTCGGCACTCGAATAAGGGAAATAATGACCTCGAAGTATTTTAGTGGCATTGATGTTTCAAAATACTTCAAATTTTTTTTCACGAAAGTTTTTAGATTTTGAAATCCCACGCGATAGTTTTTAATACATGTTCAAGCTTATGAATTCCCGCACCTATAGTGTATATTTAACGGAAGAGAAACCTTCAAAATGAAAATTCATTAATCGCCATTGATGAACAATTATGAACGAGAAAAAACAGTAAGACATTTTTGGGATAAAAAAAAGTATGTTTAATATAGAATGTGTGATTTATTAAGACATCTAATATTAACAATTTACACTAATATATGCATATCCGGATGGATTTTTTACAGCAATTAATAGTTTTGTACAAATATTTTGTACGACAACTAGGCAAGTATCTGCATTGATATTTCAAGAAAATCAACCTGCTACATGCAAACAGGTCGATATTCTCGAGAAAAGTATCTCAATAATTTCAACATAACATGTAATAATACTCCAAATATATACAAGGATATAACTACTTTGTTCTTTATACATTCATTTTATAAATAGTACATTAGTTTTTATACATAAATACGGATTAACAGTCTGACAGATTCATAGTATAAAATAGCAGAGCAGCCCTGAATAATGTGAGTTTTCTGCTTGGGGTTCGTAATGTAGTAAGATATATGAAACAATGAAAATGTCATTCTGCATGTTGCTTGGCACTTAGTTAAGTTTAGGATTTGGAAAATGTACAAAACATTACACGGGACCAAGAAGAGTTCTATAAAATAATGAATAGTGGGGGAGTATTTACAAATTTCATTATTTTATGAAACAAATACTATTTTTAAACTAATTATATGTACAAACAATTTTTAATAAAAACAGATAACAGGTGAATTCCATTTCACAAATATTCAAATTGCACGGAGTTACCAAATATTCAACATATGCAAAATATTACGAAAACTATGGGTCAATCCAGAAATATATAAGCTTCAATTGAATTTTGTGTACAGTGCGTTGATGGGTGTAACAAACATTATTCAATAAATTTTTGATTTTCTAGGATTCAGAAATGGCATAATATATGAACTACATGAAATGTAAATGATCAGAAATAATAAACTGTTTGGAATAGTTCTCAACTCGAATTCAGTTTGCATCCTTGACTTTTCTCCATAAACACCAATTCAACGTAGATCATTGAACGATAGCTATCACCTTCGCTGATAATAAAAATTTCATTCTCTGGCTCTTTTCGCCAGAGCCTTTGCCAGCTACCACACCAATCCTTCACTGAGTTGCTGGGGGTTGTCAGAGAAATTTCCAGGAGACATGAATTCGGGACTTCCACCCCTACCGCCACCATTACCCTGCATCATGTCAGGTCCTGGACCTTGTTGTGGCATGAATTGGTTTTGTTCGTTAGGCATTCCTCCAAAGTCTCCAGCACCCATAGAAATTGGTCCTGAGTGATCCATTGGTCCTCCTGAAATCATAAAATATAGTATTGGTGAGGAAACATTCATAACGAAAGGTTGTTCAATCTGTTGGAACGATAATTCGCAGAGGGTGTTCTTTTGGTTCAAGATATAAGATATGAAATCTTTCAGAACTGTATGGTTTTGGATCTTGTACTTTCAGATTTTAGGGACAGAGACAACCATATTTTTTGCACAATATTATTGAAATAGGGGTCAATAAAATTGAAACATTATTTGAATCAAAAGGGGTATATTTTACGGAGGGATCAGTTTTGTGTGAAGGAAGAGAAGTATTGAGCCGAAACCTTTCTTTCCGAAACCATTATATTTCATTAACAAACAGTATATACCACATAGAATGTGAGGAACCAAATAAGAAACAGATCGAATATATAAATACATTTTTTGTGACAAAAAAAGCGAGAAGAGGTCGATTCTCAATGCAAGTGAAAAATCTTTCTATCATAACCTCAAACCTCATCAGTGGTACCATCAGTACCACACCGGCCATGGAGATCCTTCTAGATCTACCTCCTCTACACATTTTTTTGGAGAGACCGGCTAGATGGACTGCATACAGACTTGTGCACATTGTCAATTGCACAAATCAATTTAATGCAGAGTGCAACAGACTGTTGGTTGATACTGGAAGTCACAGCATTTTCGAAATGACCTCTGACTTTATGCCTCCAACTGTCAACTACGAACTGCCTTATAAAAGTACTGTTCCCGGGTGGAGAGTACTGGATCCTCCCGGAGAAGGAAATATTAAGAGCAGACAGTTGTTGGTTCACAGATGGATCAAAACACCTTCCGGAGGTATCAACCTGCCTAGGAACCTATGCGACTGTATTTCAAGCGAAAATTTACGCAATTGAATTGTGTGCGGAGAGATCGAAAGAATCCAACCTCATACACAAATCAATAAAATATTGTCGGACAGTAAAGCGATGTTGGAAGCTCTTGGCTCCTACCGAGCAACGTCTAAATTGGTAGCAAATTGCCAAAAACGACTCTCCTCAATGGGAAGACTCAACAGATTGTTTTTGGTCTGGATTCCTGGCCATATTGGCCTGGATGGCAATGAGGTTGCTGACTCTCTTGCAAAGGAAGGTGCTGCAAGCAGCTTCATCGGACCAGAAACTATCATCGGCATCGCTTTAGGCTTTGCCAAACAAATATTGAACACCTGGATGGCAAGAAGATTTATGGACTTCTGGCAGAATCTTCCAAGATTGCCTCACTCCAAAGTGTTTATTCACTCTTCGAAGCTTTTTACTAGACAGTTGTTGGACTACGATGTATACCTCCTCACACGCTTTATGGTGACCATCACCCTTAGAATTTGGAGAAAGTACAAATTGCGTCATACACGTGATCGTTCACTATGTTACTTTCCATTTTGGCGCAGAAATGCTCCAATATGTCAGAAAACGTTTCGAGACTCATACTCTTGTATAGCAATTAATGGAGAACATCTAGTGTGAATTAATGAAGTTTGATCTGGCAGATATTATGCACGGCTTTCCAGTTTTGATTGCATGAAATGACTTTTGTGAAATTATTGTTATCATTTTATGATTTGTTCACATCATCTTTCAGATGAAGTATAATAATTTGAAATGGCGAACAGTTATTTTTTCCGCCAAAAAGAAAAGTTATTCAGTGAACAGTTACATGCATAAATTTCTAATGAAATTACCTTTTTAGTGATATATCACCCTTAGTACTTTCCCAATTTGAATTATGGTCTGCAAGGGGCAGAGGAGGAGAAATGACCGTAGGGATTATGATAGAAAGATATTTCCCCTGGATTAAATATCTACCTGTTTTTGCATTATCTTCTCAACAAATGGGTTTTAAAGGTATTTGATCTGTTTTCTTTTTCACTGTTCATTGAATATGGTAGATTTTTATATTATCACTTTATAAAACCACAAAACGTGTTTGAATGGTGACTAATTTTGGAGAGAAACCTAATTTATAATGATGTGAAAATCTTTCAACAAGGTTTTTTCAATTTCAGATACGTCTCAATAAGGGTAATTAAAATATACATGTTGATGTTGAATAAAATGTATCACACATTTACTGAAATTGAATCATACCTCCTTGTCCAAAAGGTAAACCTTGTCCTCCAGGTCCTCCTCCCGGATGGTGTCCGGCGAAAAACGGTCCATCATGAGGATGGAAAGGTGGGCCTCCATAGCCGAATTCGAATTTACCATCAGCGAAATACGGAAATCCTGGTGGGCCGTCTTCTAAGCCTCCAGGAGAAAGGTTCATAGGGAAGCCTCGCATTTTTCTTGAACCACCGAAAAATGGACCCCGACCCATCGACGTCAACTGTTTTAATCGTCGCTCTTTGGATCTTTTGTTTTGAAACCACACCTGAAACAAAAAAAAAACAATTAAAAAATTGTATTTGATCTGGTATTAGAATTGGTATTCTTTTGTGAGTTACAGACCCGAAATTTTATTATGTTCATAAATATTCGTTTTAAAAACTGGTAGATATAAATTGAAGGAAAGAGCGTATGAATTAAACTTGACTCATATGTTAAAGAATATAATACCAATGAATGCTTTCGTGAGAAAATATTATAAAGTTTATATAATAAAACCTGTAAATTTTTTTCAACATAGCTTTTGTGTTCAGTCCATTTTTTATGTTGATTTAAAAATACTCCGAGATCTCTCTCTCTCTCTTTGTATGGCCATTGCTTAGCTCTCTTGCGCATTGGGCCAAAATCCTCCTGTCAATAATTGACAGGAGACACAGCTGTCTTACCCGAGACAATGCTGCCACCCCCTAGTTTTTTCTCACATGTTTGTACATGAAAATAGTTCATTACTTCAAAGTTCGCACATGACCTCCTTTACGTGGTTATCAGAACCACCCGGCCTGAATACCGGTGTGAATGAAGCGGGCCTTCACTTCACATTTGTTAAACATTTTGACATATAGATTTCTTTCACTCATTATCTTTATCGTCTGTCCACTACCACGAAACCTTCAATATTCCCAGATAGTGAATAGACTGTTTTCCTATTTTTCAAAGTAGAAAAATCATGTTGAATCATATATTTTCTTTGGTTATTGTAGACAAAGAAAAACATGATATATCCACCACGTGCCGTTCGATAACGTATGCGATGTGATCATAAACCCTTCATCTGAAAACTCTCACAATAAAGATTTAGAAAATCTGGTTGACGTCAAAGAGAAAACTGAAGTCGAGCGATTTTACGGTGATGTAATTTATGAAAAGGCAAAGTATGCATTCAAAGAAAGAAAACAAAAAAGTTTAAAATATCTGAAATGGTGACGGGCACCAGCTCACTCGGTTTATACGAGAATTCATAGCCAACTTGAGTTTTGAGGCGGTCGTCGTAAACAACTCATTCGGGCCGTAAAACGTTGAGGCGGCCTTTTTCAGATATATAAATATTATTTTTAATATGTGTTTTACGGCTTTATAAATATTTTATATTTTTATATATTCAGGTGTTAAGATTTTTGTAGTTTATAGGCGGGACGGCTCAAAGCGCTTGAATGTGTAAATGTCAAATTTTTATTTGACCGATTCCACATATTTTCTGGTCTTTCTTTTTTCGTCTGCCTTCTTGAATGAGCTTGATGGCATTTTATGTGAATTTTGTAATACATAAATCATTGTAACGAAGTATGGGTAATAGGAACCACAATAGAGCTTTTTCGAAGAGACACCACATAAAAATTACGTATTTTTTCACAAAAGGCAACTACCTATGAAACTCATTATTTTATTATTCACTCCATCCAGTCCTGGTTATGTGAAACCCATCAATCGAAACAAGCTCACAATTATACAGGGGGTTCAGAAATTTGACTACCTTATCAGGATTTTTATTTTTTCAGTCACTTCACATGTTATGAATAGCATCTTGAATGGACATTATTCCTTTTTTGATTTGCTCCACTAACCAACTTTTCTAGAAGTTTTTTTGTGTTTTGTAACGCTGAGAAAAGAGTTTTGTATGTGTTTACTATACATACAAATAAGAACATGATACATGTCCATCATACAGATTTTTAAATTTCGATCATCAATGAAACATTGAATAAGAAATATATTTTGCTGCAAATTTTTGAAATGATGAGCCCGATAATAAAGTATAATTTGTCAAAGAATGAAATCATTTTGAATTCACAATGGAAGTCATGGAACAGTTTGTACAAAAACATTCTTCCACAGGAAAGAGAACTCTGCCACACTGTTCTAGACACCAACTGATTGATAGTCTAAACTAATTTCCTATTACTCAGTCCTATAATATGTGGCAGGATGAAAAATCCACTACCAATAATTTCTCGCTAAGGGTGAAGAAACCATAGTTTCTACAAAACGTAAGAGCGTACGACAATGGTAAACACTCTCTCCATCTATGTAGCTAATCTCAATTTCTTCAAGAGCAGTTCTGAGCTAGAAGCCAGATACTTCTCGTAAACGGGTATCTGATATGTAGAAGATGTGTTTGTTACATTCAACGTTAAGAAAAGTAGAAGACGTGACTTTGGATCCTCTCATCATCAGCTGAAATTGAAAACAAACTGTGATAGCCCTATCCTTGATAATTTTCACAAGGTCTAAAAATTGATTCCGAATAGGAAGATAATCAATACTATATTAGAGAGTTGTTAGGCCGTAGTCTCAGACTGGTATTCCCACAAATAACTACGACAAAAGTTGAGGGGCCTCTTTATTTATGTACACATAAATATATTGATGAAAATGTTATCAGGACCATAGTTGACAGACATGAGTATCATTCAAACATAGACGATAAGTGTACACACCTTAACCTGTTACTCTATGTGATCCAATCTGCAGCGTGTTCAGCCAGGAATTGACCAATAACCCAAACCTATTATACAATACATGTTTCTTAGACGGAAGTTCTTTCATGTTGAACGGTGAAGTGAATAGATATAATTGTCGTTACTGGAGCGATGTGAATCCTTATTTGGTGATAGAAACACATTTACAAACTCCACAAAAATTCAATGTCTGGGCCGGCATTCTTGGTATTCATATTGTTGGACCATTCTTCATTGAAGGTAATCTCAATGGAGACACATTCTTAAATCTATTACAGGGCTGTGTAGCTCCTATGATTACACAAACTATGGTCACACAAACAGTTCAGCAGAAAAAGAAATAACATTCCACCAGGATGATGCACCTACACATTTTGATGTTTGAGTAAGACAGTTTTTGGAAGAACAATTTCCAAAGCATTGGATCGACAGAAGGTGTAGTGGCCAGCTAGATCACCTGATCTCACACCTATGGACTTCTTTCTGTGGGGACACCTGAAGTCGAAAGTGTACTTTACTAAGCCTACAAATCTAGAAGACTTGCGACTGAGAATTGTTCGGGAATACTGATAGCTGACACCGGACATCTTCAATAATGTACGGAACGGTTTCGAGAGTCAACTGTATTATTGTATGGAACTAGGTGAAGGTCATTTTGAACAATTTATCTGTTGTTTTTGTTTCCACTGATATTATTTGTTGTTGATTTCCTCAATAAAATGAACGACAGCGTATTTTCTGTTTTTTTCTTGAATAAAACGTTGAACATTTAATTTCTCACTAATAAACGAGCCAATTTTGAAAAAAATTACAGAAGTAATAGAGGGACACACGATCTTTCAAATGATGTATCACTCGACCCCCCATGTCATTGAAAAAAATAATAGAGGGGGTAGTTGCTGATCGCAGAGGCGTGAAGTTTCGGGTATGATCTCCATATCAGAATCAGCCCCCCTAGCAATAAAACTTGATGTGTTCTTTGAAATTTTCGATTACATGTTTGTTTCTGACTTACAGGGGGTCAAGTTTTCGTTGAAACGCCCTATTTAATAGTACGAATAGAACTTAATTGAACTGATTTGATTTTTTTTCAATCAGGCAGAATTTTCAAGAAAAATTTCTTGCTCAATTAACAGCTTGCGGTAAAAATTTTCTTCCTGTCACAATGCCGCCATTCGTTAATTTCCAGAAATATCCTACACGTGTGTTGGTAGAGAAACCGCACGTAATTTTGCAGTTTTCATTTAGGTTTCCATATGACTGAATGTGTGCTTCTGGTCCCCAGGATACTTCGGGCCCTGGAGAATAGGTTACCAGCCCATTAATCTAGACCGCTCCTAATATTTTATAAAAACTACATTTGTTTCGAAAGCAACTGGCGCATTTGGGACGCATTTGTTTTTCATAACTAACCTAGTCTCAAAAATCTTACAAAAATAAAAAACTGTCGAATCAACCATACTGTTATTGTGATTTAACGGTATTCAGATGACAATTGAAAAGTAAATGTTAATACCATCCGTCCGTTATGATTTTTTAACGGTCGACGGCCGTTTCAAAATTTTCATATTCTTTTTGATATCGCTCTTGAGTTATTTTCGGCAGTAAATCAACACTCGCTGCACATGATTGTCCCAATATTTCAAAAGAAATTTGATTTGTTTCCTCAGTTTTTTCAATTTGATGCATGATCGTTGTTAAAGCGAACTCGCGAACAAAAAAAACTGACGTTGTTCATAATATTGTTGTGATATTGTTAAAATGTTCCATGACAACACGATGTTGGAATTTTTCTGTAGAATTACGAGGTACGTGGTTTGTTCTTTCCTTGAAATCAAAATGTAATCTTTCAGCGGGAATACGGAAAGTCTTGAACGACACCCGGCTGATACGCAAATAACGGATTCGGTTGTTATAATCCTCGGCTGCGCCTTGGATTACAATATTCAACCTCATGCTACATATCGACCTTGTAACGTCAATAACTATATCAATTTGAGTGTCTCTGATTGAAGTACAAACAGTAATTCAATCAGTAAAAGATGTGGTATGTATATTGTATCTCTATTCCATGCAAGCAACAACTTTGAACTCAAATTTACAGCAAATGTACGGCGACTGTCAGAAGATTACAATCATTTCTACGCAGCTCTATAATTATATTCCTACCGCGAGTTGCCTAAAAATCACACACTCAGACCACACCTCAGTAATACGCGCAATTTACGAAGACGCGCTTCAGTCGTTTTTAAATGAAATTCTTAGAGTAGTTTTACAAATGTGCTATGAAGAAGACGTCGCCAGATGACAGTTGAAATGTTGACGTCGCACATTCACACTAATTTTAACCTGTTTATTTGTCAACGAAGTTAATCGACCAAATAATGCAGTTCTCGAATAGCGTTACAACAAAACCAAGAGTAGAAGAGTTAAAAGGTCTTAATAACTTTAAATCTGGATCTCTTAAACTTCACTTCACTTTTCATTGCCGAAAAAACTTCAAATATATCTAGATGCTGACTGTATTGAA